CTTTTCAAGTTGCTAAGCCTGTCACAATAAGCAATAAATCCATTAATGTCATGATAAGTTAAATCAAGCTGGATAATTTGTTGATTTTAAAAACATCTTTTTATTTTTCTCTTTCTCCTTCTACCAAAAACTGAATCACAAAAGTCTTCAGTCTGGTGTTTTGGTCTAAACCAGTCCCTTTTATTTTGAAGGAAAACTTTAACAGAGACTTCATAATTCATTGCATTTGTTGATTTTTTTTATTTATTTTATTTTGGATATTTAAAGTATTTTCCAGTTTTAAATGATAACACACTGATCTTTGAGAGGGTGAACTTGTATTATTATGCCGTGACCATTATATAACTTGAAATGGTCTCAAAAACAGCGATGCTGTTGTTTATCGTTATAACCTCTGGGACATTTTATTGACTGAGTTGTTATGCAAAATCTGATTTTAATGTCTACAACAGGCTTTTAAAAGTATTTTAAAACTGTTTTTATTGTAATTTTCCATATTGATAGAAAAGGCTCACCTCATTCTACCTACATTTCTTTCCCCGTTTGAAATAGAGGACTCATTTTGTTATAAAATCAGAAAATAGAAATAAATTTTAGTACACTATTGTTAGCTTTCATAATAAAAGTTTATGTTGTACGCTTTTAGAAAATCGTTCGTTGTGGTTCTTGACGAGTTTTATTTTGTAGCAGCACGGCTAAAAGTGGCTTTGAACTGAAAAAACTGCTGACCCTTGGACTAGGCCATTCTAACCTCAAACTTCTTAGTTTTCCTCCCTCTAACAATTCCCTCTTTTTCTTCTATCAACACTTTCACAGCAACATTTACTCTGGTTTTTTCTTCTTCTCTGAGTGATGCTCTTCCTGCATTAAGGAAGCACATCTCCACGTATAAATCACTCTTCTTATCGTGTTCGACTTCCAGTTTCCTGTTGTTTTTTCTTTTTTTCCTGCTCAGAGGAAATATGCTGAATTTTAAAGACGACATCCACAAGATTTACTGCAGAGCCACATTTATGTTTGCGACTCTGTGGCAGGACTCTGACATGTGTGTGTGTGTGTGTGTTGTGTTTAATAGGAGTAGGGTGGCGGTTAGTTGGCATGCCATCCCCCGCAGCCATGCCAGCGACCACACACACACACGCGCGCACACACACACACACACACACACACACACACACACACACACACACACACACACACACACGCACACACACCACTGCAGTGAATTGCTGACAGCAGAGAGAGATGTGGGTCAGCGGTGGGGGTTTGTTGTTGCATTTGATGATGATTGTGTGTGTGAGTGTGTGTATGTCATCGGTATGCCTGGTGGGTTGCCAGTTTGAGGAAACTACCCCCCTCTAATCCTGTTAATGTCTCTGCCAACCGACTTCCTTTTCTCCCTCAGTGTTTCCTTTTTTTAATCTTTGTTTTTTTATTATCTGTTCATCATCACGTCTTTAGTTTGATCGAAAGTTTGTCTTCTTATTTTTCTTGGCAGAAATAAAACTTTCTCCAAATCGCTGCACCACAACCATCTATATCACATTCACACATTTTTGCCTGTTTTTAGTTTTTGAGCTTTTGAATGCCTTTCTTGTTTAATTAGATTATACCTGGTTAAGAACATTAACTTTTTTTTAATCCCATTTCACATTATGTATCATTTCATGAGAGTACAGTGGACCCTCTGCGTAGTCCTGGATTCTTCTATTAACAGATTTTACATGGAAACTTAATTGATAATTAATTGCATACAGTTACTGATCATTTCATAATGCATCTGCAAAATAGTGACTGCAGCACAGGGCATTCTGGGTAAATACAACCATAACAGACTCGATAGAGTAGCGCTAGTGGTACAAAGGGCTCATGGTGTTCTACCAGAGACGACCGAAATCCTGCAACCGCTAAAATCTGACACCACTCCATTTGTGTTTATATTTCATGAAGAAGGAAGTCGACCTCAAGTCTTTTGGTGTTGCTTCCTTCGGTGGCTCTTGGTGCAGCGCCACCACAGGCCAGGAGGGGAACAGGTTCCTCATAGGATTTGGTTAATTGGACACAGTGCAGTGTGAAAGAGAACCACAGCAGCTGAAACTGAAACAAATGTTGCAAGTTTTGGTCTCTAATCAATCTGAGTCTACCAGACTATCAGACTTTTTGAAGTTGTATATCTTGGTGTTTGGACCTACAGTAATTGTTCAGGATGCCATATTTACTGATGTGGAGCTTATTAGGATTGTCAACATTTCTAGTCCAAAATATGTATAGGAGTTAAGTGGAAGGAATTTTTTGGAGCTTTTTCCTTCTACGGGCCTCTAATCCTGCCGGCCCCATTCCTTGGAAGTTGGACCCTCCAAAGACGTCGCATCAAATTCAGCTGTGTTATAGCTGCAAATTGAAAAACTACTTGGATTTTCTCACTGCTGTGTTTTTGACCAGATTTATTTGCCAAAGTGATATTAACAACAAACTCTGGATTTGTAGGGACTGGTAGCATAAATATTATTTTAACATCATCACTTTTATTATTTCATTACATTTCTTGAGAAGTGTCAACACAGCATCAAAACTGAAAGTGTATTGACTGCAAGGAGGAAAGGCCAGGTTACAATCTCTGGGAAGTAAAAAATATAAATATATGTAGTAATATAGATGTCTTGTTCTCTGGATGTCCAGCTTTGATTTTTGGTGCAGTTTTTGATCTGTAGATCAGTTTTTATCTGTATTACTACGCCCCCCCAACTGTCATCACCCTCAACTCTGCAGATCCACTGTACTGTTAATCTGTGACTGTCTGCTGGTCACTGGGTCAGACAGGCAGTTACACCCCCACTCTTCTCTTTCATACAGTATTATGCCCTTGTGCACACACACATGGACACACTGCAGCTTTTTGTTGTTGTGTCAGAGCAAATGAAAAACACCTGAGATCCTTACAAGCACACCATTTCAAATTCCATCAGATTACAGGGATTTTAGTCTATGCTACATAGCATACAGCAAAACAAGGAAGCATTTCTCTGAGCTAAAACAAAAAGATGAGAGTATAAAATCTTTAAATTAATTACAGATAAATGTAATAATATGAGGATTTTGGCTCCGTCTGACTGATTTTCCAAAAAACGGATCAGGACAAGATCAGATATTCCAGTTTTCATTAGACTGTCTGTCTGTTCATCTATAGTATATAAACTGGAGCCTCGTGATGTTATCAATTCATGCAATGGTGATATTATCGGTGAACGCTTTGATGACAGTATCACTGTTAGCTTTAGCATATTTCAGCTTCTATATTTGCTAATGATATAGAGACTGATTTTGATTGGTTTTTGTCCTCGTTGAATGAGTTTGATGGAGGTTGAAGTAAAACATATTTGGAATATTACCAAGTCAAAAGTGAGAATAGGTTGATTTTGAATACAGCAGGGAATCAACTAATGATTATTTTACTGATTGATTAATCTGTAGATTATTTTGTCGATTTAAAAAATGGAAGATTATTTTTAATTTACCCACATAGGCCATTTTTATACAATATTAGAAATATATTAAAAGTTGTACATTTATTTTGCAGATTTATTTGGAATCTTTAAGCCCAAATAAATAAATTAATTTTTTAAATAAACATGACACTTTTCTTCCGGGAAATGCAACAACGTAGGACTCTTTTAGTAAATCTAAACCAGGTGAAGGTAAAACTGCTGCTTGAGGAGTTTTGGCTGAAACATATTCACAGTAAAAATGTGGTTTTATCGTAAAGCAAAATGTAAGAATTTTTAGTTCAGCTTTGGCCTAATTACTGCTGTAAATATGTAGTTCTGCTTTCAGCAAATGGCCTTTTTTGGGTCTGTATTTAGCGATTAGTTGATTACTAAATTAATTGATGATTATTTCAATAATCACGATTAATTCAGTTATCATGATTAATTCAATAATTGTGATTAATCCAGTTAATCACGATGAATTGTTTCAACCATGGAATACATTTCTTGTTTGCTCTTTTGCAAAGCTGCGACCAGAATCATTTATTGCCCAACATAATCATTTCTGTTTTATCTAAGCAATCATCTCATTACGTAACCTTGTGGAGCCGCAGCATATTGTGTGAGTGAGTACTTGCACATTTGGTTTTTTTTTCTGCACAGACTGATCTTCCTGTGTGTTCTCCTCTCGTCCCACTTTTCCTCCCAACCAGGCAGAATAGCGGGACACGTCACCCAGTGGAGAAGCATTCCTCTCCACTGCGTCTCATGTAAATGAAAGAACAACAAATGAAAATCGTTTCTGTTTTGTGGCGGACAGAGAGGGAAATATTTGCTCGTGTGTGTCCGTTAGTTGTTTTATACGCGGATCTTTGTTGGTGTCTGGGTGAAGCTGATGTGGGTGGATGTTCACTTCACTCCAACCACCGTTACATAAGAGGCAGTTCTTGTCCTGGAGAACAAAACCCAGATATCCAGAGAGAAGGAGACGGGATGTGGGGGGGGAACCTAAACAGACTATTACTATACTTTAGAATTTGATGAGGACTTTTGTGGCTGTTGATGGAGTTTTATTACATGATGGTTTGATTTAATCTTCATCCAAACAGGAAGAAAAGGAAGACTACTTTAAAGGGTGTTTCATATTTTTGTCAGAAATTCTTCTTTACTTGATGCATAAACTTAGAACCATAATTGTTGTATTTGTTTTTCTCAGCAAACTTTTGGTTGGGATTAGTGGTAAAACACTCAAGAGCCAAGGTTTGGTTTGTTGATTTCTTTTTTTTTTTTTTTGTGGAAATAGTTCACAAAACAACATCTGATTGCTCTGACAACAACACTGTTCTGTGGAAATAGACACAACATTATCTACTTTCATCATCACTAGGGCATTTAAAATGAAGCCAGAGGAGGAACCTTTGCTTTTCTTTGGCAGTTTGACAAACTCCACTCTCGCTTACGTCTCACAGCAACCAGCACAGCCTACCTTGGGTGCAATTTGGAGGTGTGTGTCCTTCTCCCTGTTTCTGAGCTCTGCTTATTGGATTACAGATGGATGAAAACACAAATTGTAACAACACTAATGCTTCCTTGAACTTGGTTTATTTACTATTTTAGATGGTACATTTAGAAAAAAGAATAAAAAGCTTTACATTTTCTGGTGATTTCTGATAAATGGCTGCCATCCTTTTTATTTTTGCTTCAGTAGGCCATTCTGTAAGATTTTTGAAGGCAGAGAAAAAACTGAAATTGCCTTTTGCTTATGATGATGTTTCAGTTACACTCAGATAAATCAGAAATCTGTGTTTTGCTCTCATAACCAGGCCTTATAAAGCCAATCCGAGGAGCTTTAACTTGACTTATATTTTTAGCAGTGCGGTTGCGGGGTTTTGGCAGATGGACGCGAGTTGAGAAATGGGTCGCGTAGAATTCCTGTGGGGGGGACCGAGCCAATCCAACATAACGCACACACGCAGACATGCATAATAAACACACACTACATCTATTTTTAGAACTGGAAACAAACTAAATCCACCTTTTTCTCAGTCCGACAGCAAAATGAAAGACGCACACACTTGGCCACATGCTTGTGCAGCCGCCGAAGCATGCACAATCACACTCTGCATCCATGCAGAAAGTCTCACACGGTTGTCACGGCAACTTCAGCCTGTGCCCTCATGTTTGCTTTACTTAAGATTTTGTTTCTCTTTTTGGTTCTTTAGTTCTTTTCGGCTTGTTTAATCTTTTCTGCCATTTGTTCTTCCTTCTTTCCTGTTATCATAGTTTTCAACAGGCAGCAGTTATAGATTGGTTTAAACATTTTTTTTTACGTTTATCCAATTTATTTATGGCAAATTATATTTAAGCTACGTTAGAATGTAAGTAAGAAAAAGCTTTAATGTGGGATTTATTGGCGCAATATTTAACGTTTTGCTCAAATTTCTACTTGTTTTTGAGGGTGAATTCAATTGAACCTGGGTTTGTACTTGAATGAGGTGCATAGTGGGTTGGTTTGGGGTGTGTGTGTGTGTGTGTGGGGCTCAGCGGTGGTCTGTTTAGGACTTTGCTGTCATCAGCACTGAAAGCTGACAGCAGCGGTTACTCAGTCGGTTTCCATCATCATCCTCATCAGCAGAAAGTCAGTCTGAGTCGGCAACTTATTTTTTTTTCTCCCCGTGGCTTCTTCAGCATCCTGGACCTACTGTGTGTGTCTGAGAGCTGTTTCCTGAGAAAAAAAAAAAAAAAAAAAAAAGAGAAAACCCTACTCCGCTAAACACGCATTTATATGTTTCACTGTGAGGGCCTGTTTAGCATTGAAATGCTTGTTGGTTGGTAGAAAGGCATGACGGCGCCCATCAGGGTTCCTGCTCCGTCTTAGAGTCGGGGAAGTTTGGAGTTTTGATTCTGGTTATTCAGGATTTGCTGCCTTTCCTCCCCACCCCAACGCCAACATGCATAACTTTATGAATTATAAAAAACAAGCAGCTCTGGTCAATCACAATGCTGTCTGATAGCACAAAGAATCCGTCCGTCCGTTCATCTTATGCTTTTGTCCATTCATCCTTTTCCCCATCCGTCTGTCCATCAAACCATCCATCTATCCTCTGATCCAACCATCCAACCGTTCATCTGACTTTCCCTCCATCTCTCATGGATCCAAGTAATATTGTAGTTTCTATCTGCTTTGCTGTTTGTGTCCAGAACGTCCATCTCCCTCCCCTGAAAATGCCTGGTTTTCCTTGTTAGCATCCAGATGCTAACAATAAAGCTACCTTTCTAATCCCTTAGTCGTCATTTTTCTTTCCAGATTTCTCTCTCCTCATCCAGATGTTGGGTTCCATGAGTGCTCAGTGTTTCTTTACTGGTATTGCTCATTGTTGAGTATTATTTTTGTTACGCGTGTGTGTGTGTGTGTGCGTGTGTCTGTGTGTGTGATGTAAAAGCAGTCATTACTGTAATGCTGGGAGGAGCCCTTCCTGCCCAATCAGAGGATGCAGCTGCAGCTCACACTCTCACCGTGTACGATTAGCTTCAAGGTCTCGTCTTTAGGCAGAGGTAGCCTGACTTTGCCGAATTGACAGAAAAAAAGGCCATGGCTGAATATTGAAGACATCAGTGTGTATGTGAAAGATGTGCATTAGTTGAACTTCTTGTCACAGGTCCTGGCAGTGATTTAATGATGCCTTTTCCTTATTGTCTGTTATTTGGATTTTAGGTTCTTACTTTGAAAAATCAACTGCATCAGCCGCTAAAGTCAGAATTTTACCTGGAATGTCCAAAGTTACCGACATCAGCCTCAAAATCAGATGGTTTTAATGTCAAAATCAAGTTTTTGTGTTCGGCAAAACTAAGAAAGTATGATATATCGACATTAACATCGGTATCGCCTGATGTTAGCCAGTTTTTAGCGTATGGTATTGATATGGTATTGGGCCGGCATTAATAACTAATGTTCATTTTCATCTGTTTTGCTTCTCAGGAAGGGGAGTGGAGGGTGTTGGTCCTGTGGTTTTTGCATGTGACAGTCATAGTGATGCAGCACAGGATTGTGGAGAAGCAACGTCGATAGTGCAGTAAATTTTTTCACAGTGTCAAAAGAACAGAGAAATACTCGTACAAAAGTGACAAGTATCAATTATTGACCAAACCAGCAATATTAATATCAGATATCGATACCGGTATCTGACAGATTTTTAATATCTTTGCAGTGTGAGGTAAAACAGTCTACATCATGTCCTGAATATGTCAACCTATTCATAAAGTGTCAACTGTAGGTGACACAGGTGTTCAAATTGTGCAAATATGTTTAGAAATAGTCCTTGATAAAGTCATGACAGCCTAAAATCAAGCTGGTCAATTAATCAGATTTACCGTACATATTATATTTTGTTTCTAAATGTCTCATTAACAATGTAATTGTCCTTAAAAAAAACAACATTATTTTATATTATGAATTTAGCATTTTCCTTCCTACTTTATAACCCTTTTTAGTTTATGACGTCTTCTGACTCATGCAGCCTTCCTTCCCTTTTGAAGGCTCAGCCCATAATCTCTGTGTGGTGTTGCTTGAAAAGTCAGAATGAATAATGATTGCAGAAGGTCAGGAGGAGGGGAGGTGAAATGTTCCCTGACTGGCATGAATTGACTCATCTTCAGTTCTAAACACCCTGTGCTACATGCAACCATTTTGTACCTGGAAAACACAGCGGGTCAGATACGTAACGTAATAACATCCAAAGACAGCAGCTCATTCGTACTGGAACGTTTTGGATTCTAGACAAGACAAAGTGTTTTGTCTAGAGATTAAAGTTATGTTTTGTGAGATTTGCTGCTCTCAGCAACACAACTACCTGAAACTTAAACACTGAGTCATCCACAGGCAACTAATACAGAGAGGAACCGGCAGTGCCAGATAGAGACTTTTAAGATTGTCTTTTTGTTAAGAGAACTGCAGTTCAGTTGTCAATTCTTCCAAGCAAACAAAATCAAAACACAAAATTTAAATCATCCACAGTTTTAACATTTTATAAACATAAAAAAACATTATGAAATACCTTAAAGCAGACAAACACAAAACTCAATTTCAGCTATGTCAAATATAGGTTAAAAACAAACAACAATCTTCATTTAAAGTATAAATTCATCCATTCCAGCAATTCAATATTATTTCATTATCCATCATAGGATTTTATTTTAAGTTTATTTTGAAGTTAAAAGGGAAAAAACATCAGGAACTTGAACCGTCTTCAGTCCAACTCTCCCCCAAACAAGCCACGTCTGGGGCTGCTACTAACCATTATTTGAATAATCAGTTATTTAATCGATTATTCTCACGATCAAAGTTGGCACATTGTACAGATTTTTCATTTAACCTCAAGGTTTTTGTTGTGCAACTTTAAAAATACATAAAAAATGCACATAGACAACAAAAAACAAAGATTTTATTGCGTGAAATGCAATAACGAAGTGTTTCTTGAATGAATATGAACTATGTGAAGTTAAGATTTCCAATTGAGTTTTGAGAAAAAAAAAAAAAGAAAAAAAAAAAATATATATATATATATAATGCAGAAAGAGAGTTTTAGTTTAATTACTGCTCTGAATATGTTTTTCAGCCTTAATTAGAATTTATTCACTCCAGTTATCCAATTACTCAATTAGCTGACAAATATTTGAATAATTGATTCAATAAATCAAGTTTATTTGCATAGCACATTTCAGCACCAAGGCCGTTCAAAGTGCTTTACATCATAAAAATACAAAGTTGTAGATTCATCGTGATTAATCCTATTAATAGGTTCAGCCCCAGCCACCTCAATTGTTTTGCAGCGAGAACAATAATTACGTTGCAGACCGTCGTATTAATAACAGTAAAAGACCAGCAGCGTTATAATTACTCGTCCCTCCAGTCTGTGCTCGTCCTGCCGCGGTCCTGTTAGATGACTGAGCTCTAATCAGTGGGCAGGAAGACATTCTTGCGTCTGAGCAGCTCTGCCTCCACATTCCAGTGTCCTTTGTACACCAAGCACCCACTAAGTGTGGTTTCACCGAGGTCACGAGGTGATCTGCAGGAAGACCGAGTTACAACTTCATCTCTCAACAAACCACAGATATGCTGCCGTTTCCTGTCAGCCTGCAGGCCGCAACATGCCTGGTTGAAATATCTTCTACAACTAACACAAGAACGTGGATCACTTGGATCATCTAACCTGGAGAGTAAAGGGAAACGCGTCTGCATTCTTGTCTGCTGTCCACTAATCTTTACATCAGTTACTGCAGATTTCTTGTTGAGCCACTCTGTTTTATTTAAGAGCAAGGAGAACGATTTGTTCTCTTTTTTTGGAAGTCAGTGTCACAGTTTTCAGTTTTTTATGTGATCTTGACTAGTGAGAAAATGTTCCAAGAGATGTATAATGAAATCTGTTGTGTTACGCCCCATATGTGCAGACACTCAGTGTAAAAACGGAGGCAAACAGTGGTGTGTGATGGAGTTTTCTCAATCGTCTCTTTCTGCTTTTACTGAGTCTTTAAACTTTGTGTCAATTGATAATTGAACTCAAAGTTTACGTAAACCAAAGTGAAAGTCAGATTTTCTCCACAGGTCTTGGAGCTTTTTCTCTAAATTACTTAATGCAATAATTTATGTATTAAATTTTAAAAATTCTTCCCCTTAATCGCAAAGGAAGAAAGTAAAAAAACACCTACGGACTGTCTTTTTTAGATGATAAATGAACTGAACTCATGCAGCACTTATAGACATCAACCAGGAAGTTAAAGCTTGGGCACAGATTGGTCTTCCAAATGGACAATGACCCTAAGCACACAGCCAAAGTGTTTACAAAGTGTCTCAAGGACAAACCAAGTTAAAGTCCTGGTCTCAGTCCAGTACAGAATCTGTAGGCAGTTCGGAAAAGGCGTCATTTGAGACGCATGTTCTACACTGTACATGCTGCTCCCTTTTCCAGCTTCGTCTCCTTCAGCTTCAAGTGGTCTTAAGTGTTCACCTTGGCAGCAAAGCGCTGACGTCTCATTACCACGATAAGGTTCTTTCCTGTTTCACAGACGAGGGGAGGGTACTGTTAATAACACAGGAAGTCCCACGCCTTACCTCATACGGGGAGGCCCTGTTTGTGTTTACATCATCAGTCTACTTTCACAAAAAAAAAATAGATATAAGTTTATCTGTCCTTTGTTTTCATAATTTCGGCGAACAGTGTCTGGATAAACCTACAGTCTCATGTAGGCACTCGCAAACCCACTGGACTTACCGAGCTGGCGTCATTTTACTCTGGAAAACTTTGTTACTCAATCAGTTCAAAGTCTGTGGAGCGCCTCCATCGTTCTCATGCCCTGTGGCAGCAAAACTTCCAACACTGCGCCTGGAAATTGGTTGGAGAGTTTTGTGCTGATGTGCTTTGTTTGGATGTCGCCTAACGTGTTGGTGCCATTATGGCCAAACATCTCTACTTTGGTCTCATTGTGAGTAGAGAGTCATTTGCAGTGTGAGAAACATTTGCTGCTGCCAAGAGCCACATGGAGACCCCTATGCTTGATTATAATAAAACCAGACCTTCATTTTATGTGTCTTTAGTCTTAAATTTCATTCAAGGAGGCTTTTAAAAAGTCTTAAGCTGAACTTGCTGAAACCTGAAGATACCTGCAAAATGTTAGGTGTGCATTTCTTTACAGAATTCAGTCAATATTTGTTGGTATATACATTTTCTTTTCTTTGGCACACAACCTGAATATCTAATGAAACCGCAGAGCAACGAAGGATTCGAGGCTGGCTTTAGATCATGTCAAGGAGGGAGATGTAGCTTCAACAATCGCTGTTTCTAAGCTGCTGGCATGAAAACCAGATTGCTTGGTTGGGGATTTACATTTTTCAGCTCCATGGGAACCGGAGGACCTGGGCTCTGTGTCTCCAGGAAGGTGTTCATTCTGGGGTTTTTTATATCTCTGCTGCCATCTCACGCTGCAAGTTTAAACAGGAGAACCGGAGGGAATGCCTCAGCCGTTTGGCTACAGCCAGTTGCAGCAGTGAAGAGGGGCCTGATGGGTAACTGACCTGAGGCCGGCCGGCCGACCTCCTCACGCCGCGTGCAGCAAAGCTTTTCCGACAGAAGTGTGTCTGGGAGATGGAAGGTCCTCAATTCGCCTGCTCTCCAGGTCACTGCAGTGTTTGCAGACACACACTCCGACACCGATAGCTGCACGCCGGTGTGTGTTTTACAGCAGCTTGAATGAAAACAGATCTGACACGCTCTTTGTTCCTCATTCATCTCGTTTTAAATAGCACTTCCTGTCGCTGCACCAGCGGCCTCGCCGTTGTTGCCGTAGTGTTAATTTCATAAAAGAGCTCCACAACCAGCCTGCGCAGTCAGATGACCTGCACAGAGTTTTCTTGATATATTTAATTTTTTCCTCCTACATGACAACGTCCCGGGGCAATTGTGGCTCCCCGCCCCGCTGCACCCCCCTGCTGGTCAGGGGCGCACCCTGCAGCACCGATGCCCTTTCTGTTTTCCTCCTGACTCTGAAACGCCAGAACGAATAACAATCGTGCCTGGGGAAAAAAATAAAAAATTAACGCCCGGCTCAGTCTTTGTCTCAAAGGTCACGCACGATTGCACTCAAACACTCTCTCTTAAACCCTCAACACAAACTTAAATCCCACCGCATCCACGACGGCTGCCTCCAGAGGAAATGAACTCTCATCCCTCTCTCTCCCTCTCTCTCCCTCTCTCTCTCTCTCTCTCTCTGTCTTTCTCTCTCTCTCTCTCTCAGTCTGGGAAGAAGAAAACAAAATGGGTTTGCGGAGAGGCTGAGCGCTGAACCTCGACAGAACAATGCCGACTGACATTTCTCTGCCTTATTTGGCGCCCGCTGATAAGTAAAGTCGATACCGCTGCTGCCGAGCTGCACAGGACGTGATGTCACCGGTCCTGGCCTTGAGCAGCCGGCTCCTGCACTTTTTTTTTTTGACAAATACTGACTTCCACAAACATCACAGATTTGCTGTCGCTGGGGCACAACGGAAAACTCTGAACTGCTGAATTGGATCTGATTCTTACTTGAATTCATGAACAATATTCATAAAGATCTTAGAGCAGCTTTCTTGCTTTTCTTCTGGTAGCAGCCGTTAATTATTTAGACTGGGAACAGGCAAAAAGTCCACTGAGAGAGCTGCTGGAACTAAAAGTTTAGCTAATCTCTTAAAAGCCTCTATTATAACCTCTTCAGACTTTACTACGAAACGTGTAACTCCAAGTTAATTGCAGAAAATTTGCCTATTTGATTATTTTTCATAGAATGTTGAAGAAAAACGCAGAAATACC